CGATCGTGTCAAATAGCCAGGCCAGGCCTTGTTAGCGACCTGGCGTGCCTTTGATGCTCTCCAATCTCCCTGAAAGTGCCTTGATGGTGATGAAAATAGAGTGCATACAGAGAGGGTCTATCCCTGGAGTCCGCTTTGATAACCTCCAGGATGTTGCTGTAAGTATTGGATGGCTACAAGGGTCCCAAGTTCCCTGACCCTTAGTTCAGGTACAATTTGAGTTACCGTACGATTTGCTTCAACAGCAATTGCTATCTAATTTAGAGTGACGAGCGATGTACTGAGATATAGTGCTATAAGAGAAATTCAAGTCTTCCTGCGAAGTATCTCTGGCTATTGATCAACTCACCATAATGGGCAGACTTTTGAAACCATCTTCCACTGACCAAATCTGTACCAACCCGGGTAATAAACGAGATCCATGGATTCTAATGCAAATGAAAGTGTCCGGGGCTAAAGCGGTAGCAGAGGACCCTGCTAACCACCTCTAGTAGGTAAGGGTTGCCAGAAAGGTACCAGATGATTATTGGGGTTTTCTGCGAAACAAGCGGTACCTGGCTGGGATCGCTCATCTCATCTCATTTTCTTTTTCTCTTCTTTGGCTTCCAGTGCCAGACCAGTTCCCATCTGGCTGGCTCAAGGCACGCCTCTTTCTATCTCGCGTCCAATCAGCCGCCTGTACACTTTCACTGACGGTCCCCGGCCGCATCCTTTTTTCCCTCTCCCAATTGCGCCCATTCTCCCGCCGTCTTTACTTCTAGTTCTGGCTCTGCTCTCTGTCAACTCATTCTCTCTCCTTTCTAAAACCACAATTTCCCCCTCAGCGATTACTGCTTTGTGCCCCTTCCGGCTTCCAGTCCGTTTATTTAGGGTTTCCTCTACTGTATTTACTCTACCGGGGGTGTTCGATCCATTCTCATCTTCATTCCCGCCCGCTTATCCTCTCCTGTCATATCCCAATTCATCCGCATACCCGCCAGCCGCTTTTGCCTCCAGCTTCTTTGCCTTTCGCCTTCTAGCATCGGCGTATCATCACCAGCGAAGAGGAGAACATTTCGCTCCAGGACCAGGTCATCGCAATCGAAGTTTGTTGCTGTCTGTCTCCACGATATTGCGAGATCAATTGAGAAGGTTAGTTATGACATTGCAGTTCTCGACGTTATTGCCACTGTTTATTTCCTTCTGTTCTTCACTTCATCACCTTAATCCCAGAACAGCATCTGAGGTACCACGATACACCCCCTGTTCTCCACCCCCCGGGCTCCTAAAAAGCTCCAACCTTTAGGGGCCCCTCACCCCCTGGCCCAGGGGAGGAGGCGCGAGAGATTCCGCCCTGGGCTGGGCCTTTTTGGCCTTCGTTGGCACGACTCGTGTGTCGTGCCCCAAATTGCAGCCTCTCTTCTCCCCCCAGTCGTAGCGCACCTTAGTCCCATTCAGTCCCGGTCCCGGTCCCCAGTTACTGCGCTACGCCAAAAGCTGCTTCCGTATCTCCTTTTCTCTTCCTTCACTCCACCTTTTTACCTTACCTCAACCTTACATCGCCTTCGCCTTTGCTTTCGTCTGCCTTTTCCATCTCATCTCTTTTCTCTTCTCTATACCTTGACAAGTCGAGATCCTTCTACCCTCGACCAAAGATTGTCTTTCGTTACAGCCACGACTTCGAGCGTTGTTAATCACTAACGTCGACGGCTCTAGACTATACCCATTCACCCATATATTTCGCGACCACGACGACACACGTATACACCGCGTCGTCGACTTTGTTTAATCAATTTCAGCATTTGCTATAAACCTAGCGAAAAGGAGTCAACAGCACTACCGTCGCAATGGGTTGCGGAATGAGCACAGAGGAGAAGGAGGGCAAGGCCCGGAACGAGGAGATTGAGAACCAGCTCAAGCGCGACAAGATGATGCAGCGAAACGAGATCAAGATGCTCCTGCTCGGTATGTCTGCCAATTACTTCGGTCACGCGCGACTCAACACATTGAGTCGCCAAGACTGTTGTCAATCTGGCCGCTTTCTAACATGCTCACAGGTGCTGGTGAATCTGGAAAGTCGACTATCCTCAAGCAGATGAAGCTCATTCACGAGGGTGGCTACTCGCGCGACGAGCGAGAATCCTTCAAGGAAATCATCTTCAGCAACACTGTTCAGTCAATGCGCGTTATCCTCGAGGCTATGGAGTCTCTTGAACTTCCTCTTGAGGACCAGCGCATGGAGTACCACGTTCAGACTATCTTCATGCAACCCGCTCAGATCGAAGGCGATGTCCTCCCCCCTGAGGTTGGCAGCGCTATCGAGGCTTTGTGGAAGGATCGTGGCGTGCAAGAATGTTTCAAGCGATCTCGCGAGTACCAGCTTAACGACTCAGCCCGATAGTATGTGTATCTGATGGAAACACTAGTTTCGTTGACTAACCTTGGATAGCTACTTCGACAACATTGCTCGCATTGCTGCTCCTGATTACATGCCTAACGACCAGGATGTCCTCCGATCTCGTGTCAAGACCACTGGTATTACTGAGACCACATTCATCATCGGCGACCTCACATACAGAATGTTCGACGTCGGTGGTCAAAGATCCGAGCGAAAGAAGTGGATTCACTGCTTCGAGAACGTCACCACCATTCTTTTCCTGGTTGCCATCTCCGAGTACGATCAGCTCCTGTTTGAGGATGAGACTGTCAACCGAATGCAAGAGGCTCTCACTCTCTTCGATTCCATCTGCAACTCAAGGTGGTTCATCAAGACATCGATCATTCTGTTCCTCAACAAGATCGATCGCTTCAAGGAGAAGCTGCCTGTCAGCCCCATGAAGAACTACTTCCCTGACTACGAGGGCGGCGACGACTACGCCGCGGCTTGCGATTACATCCTCAACCGTTTCGTCAGCTTGAACCAACACGAGACCAAGCAGATCTATACCCATTTCACCTGCGCAACCGATACCACTCAGATCCGCTTCGTCATGGCGGCGGTCAACGGTAAGTTACATTGACTATTTCCGAAGTTCTAGTATTCTAACAAGTTGCAGATATCATCATCCAAGAGAACCTGCGTCTCTGTGGTCTTATCTAAATGATTCTTTTTTCTTGCTGTCACAAAACACGAATACCCTCGATCTTAATAACGACACTGCTTAGATGGGCCACGGGGATATGGCTCACGATTTTTTCTTGTACTCGTCATACCAGAGGAGCGAAGGCGCAAGTCAACAACTGCGTGACTCCTTTGGTCGACGACGGTTACTGACGGTCCGGCTCACCCATTTCGCCAGATATACTACTAGCTTTGGCTGTGCCCAGGTCGACCTTGGTTCCGTTTCTTTGTAAGGATTTTACCGGTTGATGGATGGGAGTTGCCTTGTATCACAAAAACGTCTTTTTAAAGGGAGAAGGATTTTAAGACCGGTGGACCACAGATGATGAAGCCGCGAAGGCCAGTGGTCATGGCCGCCCATGACGTCGGGAAGATATGATTTGCCCGTTCAAGAGCGTGACGGACGAGGCTGGAAGACGGGGTCATTATTTGCATCTAAACAGTACGGGCGACGGAGGATGGTGGTCATCTACTTTGTTTAATTACGAAACTCTTTCCTACCACTACCATCCATGCCTTGTTACCCTCCACACGTTAGCATTGTATTGTTTACCCACTCGTCACTCGGATGCGGTGTTTTCTCGTTTAATTTCAAGTATCAAGTATGTTGTAAAATAATGATTTGGCACGTCTTTTGTCTTTGAAACAAACACACTGCCTGTCGCGAAATTCCGCACTTGTCTTGTTTGCTCTTTTCGCTTGCATTTTGACTCACTTTTCTTTTGTCGTACGTCTCGAAGTCAAGCCCAGTGCCCGGTTCTGTACAGATGAGATGTTGTTAACGCGCGCTACCCACGCACGTTTCTCAACGGGGACGCATCCGGGTCCATCGCCCTACAGAACTATGGAGGTTTTGTCTCTAAAATATGAGACATGCGTGGGGTGTAGTTGGATATTGCTTGTGGTGATGTCTTGGAAACTGAGATAAACAAAATCATGTGACTTGTTCTCCCTCCTGGGAGGAAGAATATGTACGAGGGAGCGAGAAAGGGAAGATTTCACGAAAACCGTATAAGTGGCGCTGATCTAAAGGTGTTTCTACCATTCAAATCACAAATGCATGTGCAGCAAATAGTTGCGTCCTATCGCGATTTATGTGATTAACACTCTTGTTTGTTTAGCTTCTGTCAGGACTATCGTATACTACGGCTACTCCTCTATAGACTACATCCGACAATGTCGACGTAAAAGGATCCCAGAGCCTTTGAGACGTTCTCACTCAAGATCGATACGGGTACAGATAGTAGTCGATATCAGTCTAGAGCCAACCTAGACAACTTAGCCTCCAAGACTACTTGAAAGTTGCCATACATCTGCTAGCCTTGCTAGCCAAATTCTGTCCTTGCTATTGGTTTGTCCTGAATACATGATCATACAATTGTTGGTAAAGAAAATGGTTCGGCTAAACAGCACGAACGTCGAAGAGTGACGATACGTGTCTTGAATCGAGCCAGCCCGCAGTACTGAAAAGAGAAAGATCTCGCAAAATGAAATGGTGGATGATTATCGCTCCGAATATGGTGTATGCGCTCATAACTACGAGCATGTTGGTTTGGTGCACAGTCTTCTCATCCAGTGGTGACATGATGTGTATTCCAATAGTAGTCTCAAGACAGAGTAGCCCGAAACAAGCGGCAAACTCATTTGAGATCACACAATAAGCGAGGGGGTTCCAAATTCTGGGTTCGGGGAGATCAAGGAGCACTGCGACTTAGTTAGTGGGGTGCAGTGAAACGTATGCGTGGACCTACATTACTCGGCTCTTCTCTAGTTTTGTTGATTGGTCTTTTTAGTCTTTTATGTTCTGCGTGTTAGATGCATTGCCGAGAGTCGTCAAACAAATTGAGCCTTGCTCAATGACAGCGTTATGCTTCAACGGTCTTACTGAGCGTGCAACCACTCAGTTCTCAAGTGGCGGATCGCTTGTGAGAGCCTGTGCTGTGAGATGGGCTTCGACATTTCCCTGTGAAAAACGTTCTTGTGACGAGGTTTGCTGGGGAGAAGTTTCCCGCAGAGGCTGCTCCTGGGAGGACGACTCCTGAGAAGAAGGCCCATGGGAAGAAGTATCCTGGGAAGCAAGCTCCTGGTGGGCATTGTTCTGTGAAGAAGGTTCTTGGAAGAGTGGCTCCTGGGAAGCGTTGTCCTGGCCATTCTCTTGGGAGCGCTCCTGGGATGGGTTGTCCCCAGAAGCAATTTGCTGGGGAGCAGCTATCCCAGATAGCTGGGTCACAAAGGCATTGCCCTCAGGTGTGGCAAGGAACTCGTGGAGTTCTGCAATGCGCAAACCAAGATCCTCGGCAGCCCTTTCCACTCGTGCGAATACCCGTTCTCCTTGGTTCATAGCCGCGACAGTTGATATAACATTGCCGACTACGTTGTTGGCGGATCCAGGCAAGTTCTATTCGCCGGAACCGATTCCCAGGGTCTGAAGAATGCTCAGGGCGAACTGGTTACGCATTTGAGGTGTTACGTAGAGGGTCGTGGTAGCTTCTCCCTGAATAGAGGTAGGTGGGTTCATAGCAATACCCTGGGGAACCGCCTGGGGATTGATATGGGTGTATTGAATGGGCTGGGTTGGCATCCCCGCTGATTGAGGGTGGTACATTGGTAAAGGGGCATAGATGGAGTTTTGGTTATTCTCTGGAAAGTTTGTTAGTGCCGGATCATAATATCGGTGTGGCATGAGGATCAACTTACCATGGAATGTGCATCGAGAGCCACTGGCATTGAACCAACAATTTGTGCAGCTACCACACATCTGGCCATCGTAGATAATACATTCGGACCAGGGACCGTGTCCTTTGGAGCAGTTCTTGCAAGATCGCTTGACCTGAACTCCAGTGAGATGAGCCAGGAAGGCTTCGACATTGCTACGGCGCTCCATGTTGAGGATCATGTCAGAGCGGCGCTGCCTGATAGCTCGTAGTGCTACTTCGCCGGCTAGCTTTTTACCGAGAGTGCTGTCGATCAGTATTTTGCTGCCATATATATCTAGAGCGATTTCGCCAGCTGTCAGTTGGGCTGTGCCTGGTCCAGCTTTGTTATCGAAAGTATTTGAGGGCGTTACACCGGTTCCATTGAGCTGAGGATTACGGTGAGCGATGGTCAGAGTTCCCTCGATCTGCTCAGCTGAGTGGCTGCTAGCGGTGTTTAGTAAGTTTGTGGACGCAAGTGAGGGAAGCTCAACATGCTCATCAGTGTTATAGCTACTGAAGCTACTGAAGTTGTTTTGGTCGGAGACATCGATCGAGTTGTTCAGAGTTTCCTGAGAAGAAGTAGGCTCCAAAGACTCAGATGATACTTGCTCCTGGCTCAGCCCAGCCTGCTTCGTTCCATTGCTCTTTTTCTTCGCACGAATGCGGTTCGACGAACGGGTTGCGGCATTAGGGAGGGGAGTGTGTCGGCGCGTGATGCGCTCAGCCTTCATTTTGGCCATTTTGAAGGCGAAGGAAGAGATATAATCTCGAAAGCTGGTGACAGAATCGTAAGAACGACTTATATAGAGACTGGCGGTTGGGGTATCTTAAGGAAGAAAGATATATCTGATCAACAAGAGTAGACAATTCGATATAAGAGTGAATAGATTCTTGACAAGGGTAAAAAGAATGGGTGACAAAAAGAAGAGTGGAGAGAAGAAAAGAAAGAAGCTGGCCGGGGGGGAAAGTGGCAGTGAACTGTTGGCGCGGTGACCCCACTGCTTGACGCGTTTTCTTCGCACCGTGCATTTCGCCCTCCGGCACAGTACGCGAACAGGCGAGGTGACGGTCTCAAATTACTCTAGGCAGACGCATTTCTCTTGCGCAAATGTAAACATAGACGCGAATATTTTTCATTGGCTCTATTTATCATTCACTTGCAAGAACAGCATAAAAGCTTTAGTGAACACGCGGCTCAATGCGGGAGTGCTACTGGTTAACCCACCAAGTTGTGGTGTTCATCCCATATGAAATTGGTGAACTCAACTCGTTCAACTGGAGAGCAACCAGAATATCTAATAATTGCTCTTTCTTCTAAGTCTGTGGTATCTTAAGTACCTTACCTACCCCTACTCCATTATTGATTTGGCATTATCGATGCGCCAAACACCACTCTGTAGTCAAATGCTATCCAATGGCTTACTCAACGAACAGGCGAGTGGAGAACCAATTCACTCTTCAATGGGTTGTTCACATTATCTAATTCTGAGAATCTATTGCCTAGCACCAGCAGCCTGCTCCCAAATTCCATCTCCTCTTCCTTCGGTAATCTCCTTCCACTGCATTGCAAACTCCATCAACCCTCCCTGGCCAGCCATGCTTGCATCGACTACCTCTTTTGGCAGCTTGTGCGCTGAATATTGGGGGCTACTAAAGTTGTATGCAGCTGGGTCATCCTTTTCTATGATTCTGAATTCAGGGCCCATTTCAGGTCGATACTCGATATCGTCATCCTCCTCCTCGCCTTCTGTGACTGTGTCGTCGCCGCTGACATCCGGGCCGGCCTCATTACTTGATGTTCCATAAAGGGGGTTTTTGACATCCATCTCAAGAAGCTCTTGCCAGCCAAAAAGGAGACTGTCTGTTCGAGGAGCCCATGGGTTGATATCCATTAGTCTGACTTTTCCAAGTCCATCTTTCTCAAAGGAGTTCTCTGGAATATAAACATCAAAGACGAAGCTGGCATCAGGAAATGTGAACCTCAGTTTCTCTCGGAAGAATGTCTTGATCTTGCGCCACAGCTGAGGTCGAATCTGCTCCAGGAAAGCATAATGATTGAGATCTCGCTGTGTGATACCAATGAGTGTTCTATGCTTAACAAAACATCGAAATTCAAGGGCCACATGAGGGGTAAAGAATGGTCTTAGAACAAGAATGGGCGCGTATGGCTTGGTTGGAGGTCTTGGAGTGCAGTCATCGAAGGCGTGATCGAGGTCGTGAGAAACAAAAGAAGATGACTTAAGGAGTAGATAGATGTCGTTTGGGGTCGTGCACTTGAGTGTGTTCTGGTGAGGCGAAATCCACTTGGCATCCTTTGGTGAGGACCAGTTCAACTTAGGTGCAACTGAGCCACCTAATTCTGCAATCTTCTCCTTAATGAGATTGTGTGTCTCCGGAAATCTCTGGTTAGGAGGTAGTCTTTCGGGTTCGTCTTCCTCATCATCTGAGGAATCGGGATCCCTAACTTGAGGCCTTGCAGATGTATTTGATGATGCATGCCATTCTTCTTCGGGCTCATCTTGATTCTCATCGTCATCTGCGAGAACTATACCATCTTCATGGAGATACTCGACGAAAGAAGGAGGGAGTGGTATGATGCGAGATTTGAGACAAGAACTTCGGTACTTGGGAAACCAGGAGTCGTAAGAGCAGTTTTGGATGTGATCTTTAGTGACTGGTGGGAAGACGAGCCCAGGCGCATCGCCTTGGCTGTCAGCTGAAGCTGAAGCAGGAACGTGAGGCATCTTGGACGATATCGGAAGTTTTAAATCTGGAATTCAGAGTATCAGAGGTTCTCAATATCCAAGTTTTATGTTATGTTACTTATATGGAAAGAAGAAGAAAGTAATGAGTTGTGCCGTCAATGTTCAGATGTTGACTCACTTACAAATTATCAAAATATTCCATGCCCCTCCATCATGGAGGGGCGATAATTGCTTATCTTATCTTCCGAGAAGGGTAGGCGGTGAAGCTACAGCTGAAGCGATAGCGGCAGAGAAGGGTCCTACATCACCAAACTCCACCTGCCTGTCGCTGTCGCATATATAACAGATCCCGATTGTCCATAGCATTATCTACGCGCCAACTTATCCAACAGTCCTTTCAACCTTCAAAACACAATACTTCGCCTACTATATAATGTCTGATAACGTTGGTCTCAATACTCCCCGTGGCAGCGGCACCTCGGGCTACGTCCAACGCAACCTTGCTCAAATCAAGCCTCGCGACTACGGCGCTCCTTATCCCAAAGATCTCGATAGCTTGCGACATAAGCAACGGCAGCCGGACAAGGGGATCCTGGAACATGACCGCAAGCGCGAGGTCGAAGTTAAGGTCTTCGACTTGAGGGACAAGCTTGAAGAAGAAGAGTACGGCTTTGTATACACCCAATTACATAGCTCACTGTGCTAACACGAACAAGGGTCGACGAAGACGAGATCGATAGGCGATGTGACGAGCTCCGACAAAAACTCCTCGCCGAGATGAATTCTGGAAGGAGAGGCGGCCAAAGAAAGACATTCAAGCAACACCAGGTTCACGAGATGGCTGATGCCAAGATCAAGGAGAGCGAACGACTACGGAAAGCATTGAAGATCAGTGCAGACTATGAAGAGGGAGGTCATTGGAAGCGCCAAGAAGAGAGGCTACGCAATGCTATGGAGAAGGAAGAGGAAAAGGATGAAGGCGACGATAGGAAAAGCGAACCAAGAGATTAGGTCGACCACCGAACTCAAAGCGCATCAACCACAATGTTATCGGAATTCGTGTTCTGAGGGGAAATGCAGAGCTTTTGGTATTCAGGCAAGGCAATTGTCAAGCATCTGGCGGTCTATCATGCTTGGTCTGGGATTGGCCATTTCTCTCGAAGTTATCCATCCATTTAATATGGAAAGAATGGGCAAATAAGCATCGGGTCCGGGATAGTTTAATCGTTATGATCCTGCTCATTTTCAAGTGGCGCATGGCGTTTAGGTATTGGGACTGAGACCCAATTCGCATTGTATAGGGTAGGGTATTTAACACCGACGACGGGCTTTTGTCCCTTGAAAGAATGATTCATAAAGTCCCGCTGGGCTCTGTATGACATTGTGTGCCTATTGTGGTGATTCTGGTCTTTTTTTTTATGGGGGTCACTGTATTTTGTCTTTGCCTTGACTCTGCGAATGATAAAGGTTACTCGAATGTGAGCTGGCTTACTACTCAGTTAAGTAGTGTATTGTCTATCGATACAATACCAGTCAAATAATGTTTAAACTTGTTAAGCCTGTTAACTTATCAACTGTATATGAACCCAATTATATATCTATGTAGCGCTTATAGACAGATTGTTGAATTTCATCAATAGTTAGGTTGGTAGTTAAGGTGGTGTAAGTTGCGACGTGGCTTGGCACATGCTCAAGTTACAAAGACCCGCCGCTACAGCTTGAGCTTCCTTGAACCTCACACGTCACTAAATCACCAGAGACAGCACCAGAGACGGAGGAGATTCAGGAGATCGACAACCAAACAAAAATACAACCATGGCGCGACTCTCGCATTCTACCATCCCTTCAATCAATAGAAGCGCAATTGATATTGCATCAGCAGAGCTGGGAAACCTTCTGCTGCGACTACAAAAGACCGTTCTCCATACAGATAGCGACCGCGAACGAAGACTACGATCGAGCGAGTTCGAAAGAGCACGAGTAGCATCTGTAAGAGTACCTATGTCGGACTCCACATCCCTATACACTGACTCTGGACTATAGAACCTCGAATATGCACGAAACTCTTTGACGAAACTAGAACACGATGCGCTGTCGATTAAAGCGCCAGGTCGAAGGGCTGAAGTACAAGGCGACTTGAATGGAAAGAGAGAGCTTCTAGAACTGCTACTGGATCGATTAGAAGACTTGAGACAAGTAAGAAATGGCTTACAGGACCAGGCGAAGGATTTAAGCTGACATTACGACAGGTGGCAATTGAAGAGGACGACGATGATGGGAGTACTGACGGAGAAGATATCCTCTCAGAAATAATACCTACGCCGAGCGATAGTATGGTCGATTCCATATCAACAGGCCAACCCACTGAAAGCTCAGGACAAGATGATGATGCCGAGTCAGAACCCCCAGAGACAACAACTATACCAGTGACAACAGCTACAGCACCGGCACCAGCATCAACATTACCTCCTGAGACCTCTACAATATCGCAAGAGCACAAACAACAACCCACACAAACAACGCAGAACCTAAGATCAAGAGGCGCGCCTTCATCCCCATCACCGCCTGCCCACTCAACCGCGCGCGCCGCCCTTTTCGCCAACCGGAGTAAACCCTCTACTCCACAAACATCAACAGCAACAGCCGAAGCCTTACTTGACCACCAACGAGCCGAACAGGAAGCCCTTTCCGAATCGATTCTTCAGATGGCGAGTGCTCTTAAGTCAAGCTCACAACGCTTCTCAACTACTCTTGAGGCAGACAAGGAAGTAGTGGCGCGTGCGGGTGAGGGAATGGATAAGACGGAACAGAGCATGGAGGCGGCGAAGGGTCGAATGGGTATGCTCAAGAGGATGACAGAAGGAAAGGGATATTTTGGGAGGCTGCTCCTGTACGCATATATCGCTTTGCTTGCTGTTGCGTGTATACTCGTGGTCTTTGTTCTACCCAAGTTGAGGTTCTGAAGCTCAGAAATAACAAGGAGACCAGTAATAACACATCGGGTATGTATAAATGAATAAGTTCTAAGCCAGTATGAGCATTGCTGTGTAAGTAGCTATCGTTCCATATACGCCAAACCCACTGAACGAGTGTCCCCATGTCCCCCAAGATATGCACGTCCCAATCATATGCTACCCCAGCTGATAGTAACCCATTCTCAAGATTCCTAGCAATTTGGTTGAATGTTCCAATTGATAACCCGAGACCTGGCACGCTCGTTTCCGTCATCCCCCGCAAGATAGCAAACCTGTAATACCCATAACCTCGATATGAACTCCAACTAAAGAGGCTCTCGTGTCTCGAATTCAAAGGAGATCCCCATCTCGCCAACATCATCAGGAACCACAGCGACGCCCTGACCTGTTGCCTGTGAGAGGTCTTTCTCATAAATAGACGAGGCTGGAGTAGCATGAGCACTCTCTGTCTTTGCATACATAGAGGCATCAGACATTTTGTCTGTCTCCTGAGCATTTTCAGATTCAGGAGGTGATTCGGCCTTCTTTTCGCCGTCAAGGGTCTCTGAACTAGTGATAGCTGCCTTTTCTTCTTGAGGATGCTCAAACTCAGAAGGGGGAATCTCTTCCATTTTATCCTGAGAGACCCTCAAACTGGAGCAGGATTCGTTTTCATCTGGACGCTTCTTAGGATCAGGAGGAGACGCCATTTCTATGTCGTCTCCAGACCCCTTCGGATCAGTGCCAGATCCGTCCTCTGGAACGCGAGGGGAATATGGAGGTGAGATCATCACTACGTCGTCCTCTTCGAGGGCTCTAGGTCCAGTGTCAGACTCGTCTTCAACCGAGTCAGCCTTACACTCTTCCTCCTCGAGGGGAGGCCATGGCAATCCCCGAATCCCAGCATTGATCTCTCGACAATACTCAATGTCGTGCTTCAGACGTCGCCCAATGGGTTTTCCTCTGGACTATAGATGGTCAGTACATTCTCTCCATGGAGAGTACGTTGACGTTAGACATACCGGAGGCTCGTACTGAAAATACGAACTGGGCATTGTTTGGGCCAGTGAGACCCGATCTTGCCAATCGATCCCGGTCTTCTTTCTGAAAAAGTCCATGAACAGCTCCATCTGAGCCCTCCATTTTCCCTCGTGAGGGCTAGGGCGGTAGTACGATGGCTGAGAGTTGCCCTTGTGCTTGAGGAATTTGGCCGTGAACCAGTACAAGTGAGGTTTGGCGTTGGACTCCCACAACTGTTTATTGTTAGTACCAAGACAGACAAGAACCGAAAACCTTGCTTACGCAAAGAGAATACTTCTGTCCGAATTCACCGGTGAACTCGTTATCTCGAGTGATGTTGACCTGGTAGACAAAGTTGAGACGGTCTCGATAGAGGTGGAAGAGGTCTAATAGAGCTTTAGTTTCTATAAATCAGCAGAACTTTGAAAAACATACTTGTGTTAACAAATTTCTCCGCGTTTCTTTTACCCTTTTCTATCCGGGCCTTTTCTCTCTTCTTTGCGTTTTGCTTTGCGATAAGGCTTCTCATAGAATAGTCCGCCTCAGGCAATTTCTTGTTCTTGACTGTCGAGTACTCAAACCAGTCACAATGGACAATGTGAATGCCCTTGCCGAGCTTCAATGCCTTTCTGACTATAAGTTTATAAGCAGTTGCAACAGCAAGAGAGTAAAGAACAAAAATTGGTACCTTTAGGAAGTTTCTTGTCAAATTGTTCCTTGGTGCAGAGGAGATGAGTGACAGTCTCGTCAAAGTCTTCGATAAAGACGCCTTTGCGAAGTGAGGCCCATCGCTTCAGGTTGTCCACTGTCAACTGACCAGGAAGAGGCCCTGCGGCTGCAATTATACGGCTCTTGAAGATCTGAGCGACCATGTCTGCTGCACTTCACCTAATGTTGATGAATTGTTGAAGAACTGAAGGACAAGGACTGATGAATGTTGTACTTGGGTCTAAGAAGTAGAGGTCGAATGAGGAAAAGAATAGAAAGTGAAGAAGGAAGAACAGAATAAATATCGATAGGCGAAGTTGAAGATGTCTTACGGGAAGGGATGAAAACTTAGAAGAGAGAAATTAGTATCAGCCTTAAGATCCTCTATGAAATGAGACGCTCGTTATAAGATAGGATAAAGAGCGGGAGCCTAGGAGGACGTTAAATGAGAAGAGATGTGACTGTAAAAGCTCAGGATCGGACTTGTGGTGATAAAGGATGAAACGCGAGACCGTGAGTCTAAGTGCATGTTGGATAGTGCTTTAGGCCATGCGAAAGAGAGTGCAGCGAACGGGATAATGATATCTCTGCCTTGTAGGAGGGTTCCCTCGAAAGGAATATTATCAGGACCACGTCAAAGAGGGGACAATTTGAACTGGATTACAACCCCACAACGTCAATCAAACTTGGGTGCTCATGAAAAATTTCCTGCAATTGTATAGCCTGTCTTTTTCTCTATCTTCTATCGGATTTCCTTGGCAGCCTTTATGAAAGCTGCAATTTTGTCTAGGCTTTGTTTTCCATCCTCCTCCACCCCACTGCTCACATCAACGCCAATCACTCGATCAGCCAGGGGACCCAAGGCCTTGACAGACTCGGCAACGTTGTCAGGGTTGAGACCACCAGCAAGGAAGACTCGAAGCTCAGGATCACTCTCCAAAACAGCCTGGACATTGGTGACATTGAGAAGCTTGCCGGAGCCAGAGCCGGAGTCAAGAAGAGGAACAGTATGATATCCTCGACGGCCAATTCCAACTTGGCCAGGCTTGAAGCATCGAACGACAGGCACGGGAATGAGGCTTGCCCACTCGATAGGCTCGTCACCATGAAGCTGGACTAGGTCAAGATCGTATTGCTTCTGCTTCTCCAAAACCTCGCTCAGGGGCTGGTTCTGGAAAATACCGACGAGCTGAGGTCGGGGGTTACGAAGTCTTTGGGCAGCAGCTTCGAAGAAGTCCTCGGCTTTGTTGTCTGCTGCTGCTACTTGGGTCTCGTACTTTCGAGTGCTAGGATATGTGTGCACTACTTCTGAGATTGCAAGGGCAGTCTCATGTGAGATGCATCGCTTGGCGCTAGGAACAAGGCAGATGCCAACAAAATCTGCCCCTGACTCGACAGCCTTCAGGGCAGCCTCAGCGCTTCGAGTACCACAAATTTTGACGTACAAAGATGATCCAACATCAGAATTAGCAGGGGGCTCGGTTCCAGAGCATAGTTGACTGATGAAAACACTGGCGTCAGGGGCTCTCATGATGGCCTCACCAACTAGAACAGCATTGACACCATCCCTCTTGTTCATTAAAACGTCATCATGGGTGTTGATACCGCTTAGCGCGCAAATGATTGTGCTTTCAGGCACCATGCTGCGCAGCCGACCTGTGGTGTTGAGATCAACCTCAAAGCTCTCGAGGTTACGGTTGTTGACACCGATGACCTTGGAACCCAGCTTGACTGCAGTTGTCATCTCCTCAGCATTCTGAACCTCAACAAGAGGCTCCATGCCCAATTGGAGAGAGTAATTGTACAGCCTTTGTAGAAGCTCAGCATCAAGCATCTTGACAATGAGCAGAACAGTATCCGCACCAGCCAATCGTGCCTCGAGGATCTGGTATTCGTCAAAGATGAACTCCTTACGGAGGATTGCGGGTCGGTTGGGCATGCCATCTAAGACTTGTCGAACGGCTCTCAAGTCCTCAATACTACCCTTGAACCACTCAGGCTCAGTGAGCACGGAAATGACACTTGCGCCAGCCAAAGCGTACTTTCGAGCCTGTGCGGGGGCGGAAATATCCAGCGCAAAGATGCCCTTAGAGGGAGAACCGCGCTTGATCTCAGCCATCAACGCAACGTCAAAAGGAGACTGTCGTAGTCGGTTGACAAAAGGGATCTGGGGAGGGGCAGCGTTAAGATCGTATGCGACTTGTAGATCTTCAAATCTCTGAGAAGGGATTTGCTTCTGGGCGTCCACAGCAACCTTTCGGTTGGCGTAAATTCGCTGCAGAATGTTGTTCTTTTTGGGCTTGGCTGCAGCCGAGTCGTCACTGTTGGCAGAACCAGACTTCTGGAACTGAGTGTTCTCCTCCCAAGTACCTCCCTGCATGCGGAGGAAGTTTGTAATCATAGCTCGTCCACCTTCAGTCAGAATACTCTCAGGGTGGAATTGGACACCTTCAATGGTGTACTTCTTGTGACGAACACCTTGAATGACACCAGGGGAACCATCAGGCTTGGCCACCCAAGAGGAAACCTCCAGTTCCTCAGGCAAAGTGACGTGGGTACCTGCAAGAGAATGGTACCGAGTAACTGGAACACCCTGCTTGAGACCAGAGAATACGCCCTTAGAGTCATGGGTCAACGGCGAAGTCTTGCCATGGAGCCATTCACCAGCTGAACTGACTTCTCCACCATAGACATTAAAGATGCACTGACTGGAACAACGTTAGAGGAATTGGTATACTAGTGAAAGATCAAGACTTACAGGCCCATACAGACACCAAAGATAGGAACCTTGCCAGCAAAATGCCTAATGACATCGCGGCTCACACCAGAATCAGTCTCGGGGTGACCGGGACCGGGGCTGATGATAATCTGAGTGGGTTTCTTGGCAATGATTTCATCCACAGTGACCTTGTCATTTCGATAGACAGTTACCGTAGCTCCCGCAAGGACGAGATACTGGTAAATGTTCCAGGTGAAAGAGTCGTAGTTGTCAATAAGAATAAGGTTGGAGGCCGTTGGAATTGGAGGGGATGGATCAGCCTGGTGAGGCGAGTGATCGATAATATCGGAGGAACCCATTTTCTCTCTCTTATTTCTCGAAAAATTAACAACGAGAAGGGAGACTGCTTGAAACCGTGTCTTCGTAAAAATGAGTTATTTTTACGAGACTGAGAACGGTGACGTTGCAAAAGGTGAGTCACTGTAAGTTTGAATAGAGTTGAACAAAAGAAGCTGTGAATGCGACTTTCGGCCAGTGTAATACTGACCAGCGCACTGTCGTCTCTGGCTGAGACACAATGCCTTGCACAGTGCTAACTATATTTGGCGTATGGAGGCATAAGGTCCGATTCAACTGCCGTCCACTGAAGCACCGGATAAACTTGGGCTAAATCGGAGCTCCCTAGCTCAGGTCCAAAAAGTTGACCAGCCAAAGCTCGATCCATCCATTCGCGACCAGGCGCGTCAACAAGCATCAAAATCAAACTTTCTTCGCATCCACCCTAATCGCAAGGTGATGCATCGCATGCCACTGTCGCCTTTTTGACGCTCTTTGCAATGGCGCCGGTGGCCGATCGCATTTATTTCCCCTCCCTAGAACAATGCCTGACTGGGGAGCGGGTACTGCTGTAAGTTGACTGACTGCTTCTGCAGCTCTCATCTCTTGCGCTGCCTATCTATCCATGTAAATAAACTCACTGCTAACTCGCCACTCAGCTCTTGGAAGCTCATCGCAACTGCGCTATCTGACAGTTCTGGTCAGAGAACTACAAGTTCTGCCGTTATCGAATTTTTGAGCGACGACTATGTTCACCGTCTTCTTGAGGACCCTGCCAGCACCTTCGCACCCGCAGATGAAGCTACGAAAAAAGTCTTTGAAACAAAAACAGCCCCGATAAATGTTCCCGCAAGCTCAGATGGACGACCTGATATCGACTCGATCAAGAAAGATGCCGAATGGCTCAGCAAGAATGCCAAAATCAACCTAGTCGCAGCTTTGCGTGTGGTTGTGATAGAACACCAGTCTCGTCCTGCGCGCCATCTCAGTGGCCCACTATCATCTCAAGATGCGAAGAATTTGCAGGAAGCTGCCGGCCTTAACAATGGCCAGGGGTCAGGACTTCTTTTGGACCTAGGATCGGCGGCTGCGCTGGATGCTGAGGAGATTTGGACCGAGTTCGAGAAGCCCGAGACGAGACAGCGACGCCTGTTCGATACCTATCTTACCGAGCGCCGTTTTTTTATGATGTCTGCGGACTATGCCAACTCGATCAAGCTATACGAAAGACTACCGACCTTCGCCAGTGTTGATCTCGACCTAGCCAAAACTTACCGATTGAAGCTTCCCTCGCGAGACGATGCCGAACCCCTACTCCCGACTTACCTTCAAGTTCTCACAGACTCTATGTCCCGCATCGAATCAGGTCTAAAAGCCGTAACGGATGAGAAGTGGGTGACTGAGGAAGTCGAACTAGATTGGCTGCGAACGCTTCTAACCGAAGCTATTCATGCTTTGTCTGTTGTCTTCCAGATTGTTGACAGTTTTGGCGACGATTTTGCACCTTCAAGTGCTGTCAACCAGTGGTTTTCTTTGATGGAAGTCTACAGATTCTTTGACGCTGTTCAGCCGGTATGTATTGTACAACTTGATCGATGGCAGACTTGTATTAATAGTGCCCCCCAGATCCATGAGAGCATTGCGCCTTTGGTTTTGCCCCTGAAGACACTATCCGTCGCCGTGTCCCTGATACTACTCAAGCCAGCTCGCTCATTAAACTATCTTTCCGAGAGAGAAGAGGATGCGACCCAAGCAGACACTTCCTACGATACATACTTGCTCTCATCCGACGTCCTTGAACAGGTCCACAAGAGTATACTAAATGCTGCCGAGGCCGATTGCGAAAGCGCTTCACCCGTTATTTTCGCCTGGACGCTTCTCCTTCATCGCATGAATGTTTCATACCAAAGCCGAACAGAGAAGCGTGATAATTTGCTACAGCAAAACGCCCGAGAGACCTTTGAGGCAGGAGGTGTGATTCGACCAGTTGCAAGGCGAAACTCGGCGGGCAGCATCTTCTCCATCGAATCTTCGAAATTTGACGGCTTCCTCGAGAATGCGACTTCTTCCAAGGACCTCGTCGTGGTGGAACAGCTTGCATCGCAAGTCACGGCCCAGGGCCGTGTTTTTGATGTTGTATCTAATATGGCAACAGCACTAGGTCCCTCAGATGAGGGTAGCATGACCCCTTTACTCAGTGCTCGCCTTCGCCATGTCTTCCTTGAGCTTCTTATGGTTTCATACCCCATCGTTGGTTATCAGTCCGAACCAGTGAGCGCCCTTCTTTCCGTTCTAAGCGCCGGCCGAAATTACTGGGACATTTCAAACAAGGAGAACCTCTCGGAGAAGCAAGATATTCTTGCATCTATGGTCAATGATGATCTTGCACTGGAGTTCTTCTTTCAGCAAGCTCTTGACAGATACCCATATGAATTTCTGCCGTTTATCACTCTCTGCCGAACTCTAGCCAGCGCTACTAGCCTCCGTGAGAGCGATCGGTCTCAGATGATCCTTAACCTTCTACGTGCAACACCAACCCTCACATTCGTACTTCCTGACTATTTCCAAGAGTACGAGCTCGCACAAGAAGACGAGAACACTAATACTTTCTGTTTGCTGCAAGACATTCCCATTATCTCGTTATCCCCTTCATGGCGAGGAAGACGTGTTGAGGACGATGCGTACCGGATACCAGCAGGCACATACGGACGATTTGTTACGGATACAGGTAGAGTTGTCTCAATGGAGTACCCCCATTCAACTATCTCGCTCCTGGGTCGACGACTGGAAATCAACCTGATGAAGGAAGGCTATCAGTCTGAACTTGGAATGCTCCAGCCAGAAGAAACTGCTGAGGTCATCTCTCTGTTCGCGACACTCATTCGCATGGATTATTTGAACGCCACCAGGGAGGAGTCCACTGGCGCTTTGGTGCTTTCAGACAATGATATTCTTCATGAGGCAAAGAAACATATCGATGCGGGTAGTGGCAGAGATCTCCTAACAGTTGTCTGCGAGACAATGGACTACTACATGCAGGTTGATCTTGCGGAGAGCGAGGACGTTGTCGTCACTATACTGAACTCTTGCGTTGAATTCCTCGATGCGATCCTGCCCATATACCCTAGCAGAGTGTGGTCATATCTTTCTCGATGCGAGCTGTTAAGTTCCGAGTCCAGAGCTGGCAAGCTCACCAAGGTCGTCGGAAGCCTCGACCTGGTCCAGGAGAGGCTCGAATTTTTGCTGTCTTGTCTTAGACTATTCTCAAACCTCATTGACACTGCAATGACTTCCGCCGTTCAGCGTCGAGCTGGAATTCAGACAACAGGCAGAAACAAGTCAGATCTGAACCCCTGGCTGGGCACAGCAGATAAAGTTTTGGCAAAGGTCAGCTACGCCATTGCCCAAGCAGGAGTAGACATCTTTGAGAATACTTCAACCTGGAGGTTTGCGTCTGACACATGCCGCTCCTCAGTGCTCCGAGAGGTTGTACCAATCTTGCAAAAGGTGATTATGTATAGCTACAGTCTTGGCGATCCGTCAACCTCTGAGAATCTGACTTCATGCCTACGACCTGCCGCCTCTTATGTTATCGACTGTTTTGTTTCGCCCTCAACTGGATCTCTGCGATTCCAGCCCCTTTTATCATCCCTTATCACAGCATTTACAACCGCCGACAGTACCCTCTACCCAAGACGCGTGGAGATGGTACAGGCACAGTTAAGTTCAGTACTCGAACTTTCGGCAACACTACTACGCGTCGCCAATTATCTAGAGCAGCCCTCTAGCATGATCGAAACTTACCTCTTCAAAAGCTCTACCCTGCTTGCACGCCTGTGCGCAGCATCTGACCATTTCCGCAAACCCACCATGTGGCTACTCGAGTCTTTGGTTGTAAATGCTGGCAAATCATCAAGTGAGCCCCCGTCACTGCTCGGCTACTTGGGGCCTCAGATTTCCAAGTCTTTCCTCCAACTCCTCTCTACCCTGGGCAAGCCCTTTGAACTCAGGGGCGAGGTTAAAGCCACATGGAAGTTCTTCTCGGCCATTCTGAGGAACCGACAACAGTGGATGTCTAATTGCCTTCTTACCGGGCAGACCCCCAGAGAGGCAATGAAGAAAGACAAAAAGAAGACAGATGTTTCTTCCAGCTCGGTATTTGCCACTGGGCTTGCCAAGCTGGGCAAGCTGAAAGACCTAGAAGTAAGCGAGGCCTTGGTCATTCTGGACTTTGTCGCCTCGGCCCAGAACTTCTGGCCCTGGACTGTTTTCACACTCCAGAAAGACACCGCTTACCTTGATGGGCTCAGAGAATATGTCCGAGACCTCAAGTCATCCAGCATAACCGTCAAGTCTGACCCTGTTCGTGCTGGTTTTGAGGCAAGACTGGCCGCGTACATTGCGGAGACGTTTGCTATGCAGCTTTACCACTCGCGGCATCTGGGCAACTCTGGCACATTGGCAAAGAACCTTATCGGCGATCTCGACTACTACTTGCGTGATGGAGTTGAGGTTGGAGGCTACAACAAGTCTCTTCACAGCAACTTCGCTCGAAACTTTTCCAACAAGTATTCGGACTGCCCTGTGGATTACTTCAAGCGGACCGCCTTGGAGCCGCGGGAGCTCGGCAAGAGTTACTACTATGACTTAGAACGCGCCGACCAGATGCTACGATTCGATCCAGGCTGGAAAGGTCGCAAGGACGATGGTTTCAAGACAGAGATGGAGCGCGCAAACACCAACTTGTCTTTAGTTGACGCCCAGCTCGTAAGTTAATGTGTCTTGTGTACCATGGACATAGCTAATTTTGTTATTACTAGGCCCTTTTCCATGCCTGGGAGTTTTTACTTGTAGAGCTTTCAACATGCATGCCTAAGAACGACACCGTGGAGAAGCAAATGCTGCAGGTTGCCCAACAATGCCTCAATGCCAACCAAGGAATTCCAGGACCTGAACACATCTTCCTAAAGCTTGTTGAGTCCAGGGCGAGCCTTGCGCTTGTGTTGATCCAGCGCCTTGTCAAGTCATTAGTGCCAGTCAAGGACATCAACCAGCTTCTCTCGACCCTTGTTGGTACCATGAACGGAGTTGAGGAGCCTTGGGGCACTGAATCTATCTCGTACTACCGCACCCTTCTAAAGGCTCTTTTCGTTAC